CTTAAATATAAAGGCTTTGAGTTTATCATTCTTTACAGCTGAGTAATACTCCATAGTATAAAAATACTACATCTTTTTCATCCATTCCTTAGGAGATGGGCATCTTGGCTATTTCTAAGATTCAACTATCGCAAATTGTGCTGCTACAAACATAGGTACAAATATATGACTATGATATGATGTTTTCAGATCCTCTGGGAAAATTCCCAGTAGGCGAATAGCTGGTTTAAATGGGATTTCAAGTCCTAGTTTTATAAGGAGTCTCCACACAGATTTCCATAATGGTTGCACCAGTCTACATTCCCACCAGCAGTGGAGAAGGGTTCCTTTTTCCCCACAGCCTCTCCAAAATTTGTTGTTGGGTTATTTCTTTATGATAGCCATTCTTTCTGGGGCAAGATGATATCTCAATGTTTTAATTTGCATTTCACAGATGGCTAGTGATGTGGAGCATTTTTTCATATATTTATTCGCTTCTTTAATTTCATCCTCTGAGAAGTGTGTATTCATATCAGATGCCCATTTATGAGTTGGGTCTTTAAATTTTGGGACCCTAGTGTTTTTTAGTTCTTTATAAATTCTAGAGAGCAGACTTCGTCTGAGTGCTTATTTATCAAGATTTTTTCCAAATTTGTGGGTTGTATTTTCACTTTGTTGGTAATTTCTTCTGATGTGCAAAAACTTCTCAATAAGAGGAGGTCCCAGTTGTTAATTCTTTCAAGTATTATACATGCGATTTAATTTTTGTTCATGAACTCTTTGCCTACCCCTATGTCTTCAAGAGCTCTTCCTACTTTCTCTTCCAGGAGATTTAGTGTTTCTGTTTTAATGTTAGATCTTGAGTCCATTTTGACTTTAGCTTAGTGCATGGTGATAGACCTGATCAAGTTTTAGTTTTCAGCATGTAGAGAGCCCGTTTTTCCAGCATTATTTGCTAAAGAGGCTATCTTTCTTCCAGTGAGTATGTTTGGCCCCTTTGTCAAAGATAAGGTGGCTGAGTGTATTCATAGGGGATTCAGTGTCTTCTAACCTATTCCACCGATCCTCAGGTCTATTTTGTTGCCAGTACCATGCTAATTTTATCCCAGTAGCCTTGTAGTATAATTTCAAGTCAGGAATTGTAATACCTCCTGCCTTGTCTTTGTTGCCCAGGATAGTCTTTGCTATTCTAGGTCTTTTCTGGTTCCAAATAAATTTTAGGAATGATTTTTTTAGGTCTTTAAGGTATGTTGATGCTAGTTTGATAGGGATTGTATTAAATCTGTACAGCAATTTTGGGAGTATGGCCATCTTCACAATGTTGGTTCTTCCTATCCAGGAGTATGGAATGTCTTTTCATTTTCTGAAATCCTATACGATCTCTGAGTATTGTAATTTTCCTTGAAAAGGACTTTGACTTCCTTAGTTAGATTAATTCTAAGATATTTCATTTTCCATGGTGGTATTGTAAAAGGTATTGTTTCTCTAATTTCCCTCTCAGTGTGTTTGTTATCTGTGTAGAGGAATGTTACTGACTTTTGGGTACTGACTGCTATGCTACTGAATCTGTGTATCAATTCTAGTAGTTTCTTGGTGGAGTTTTTTGGGTCTTCCAAGAAAAGTATCACGTCATCTGAAAATAATGATAATTTTACTTCTTCCTTACCTATTCTTATTTCTTTTATTTCTCCCTCTTGTCTAATGGCTCTAGCTAATGATTCCAGAACTATATTGAAGAGGAGGGGTGATAGAGGACATCCTTGTCTTGTACCAGATCTGAGAGTAAAAGATTTCAGTTTTTCCCCATTGAGAATTATTTTAGCCTTTGGGTTGTCATAGATGGCTTTTATCATATTGAAGTAGAGGCCTCCTATTCCAATTTTCTGTAGGACTTTGAACGAGTGTTAGACATTGTCAAAAGCCTTTTCTGCATCAATTGAGATGATCATGTGGTTTTTAATTTTCGCTCTATTGATATAGTGTATTACATTTATAGATTTTTTAATATTGAACCATCCTTGCATCCCTGGGATGAATCCTACCTGGTCATAGTGTATGATCTTCTTGATGATTTGCTGTATTCTATTTGCTAGGATTTTATTGAGGATTTTTGCCTCTATGTTCATGAGGGAGATTAGCCTGTAGTTCTCTTTTTTAGTTGCATCTTTCTCTGATTTTGGTATTAGTATAATACTTGCCTCAAGGAATGATTTTGGGAGAATTGCTTCCTTTTCAATTTAATTGATGATTTTGAGGTATATAGGGACTACAGCTTCGGTAAATTTCTTGTATAATTCAGCTGTGAATCCACCAAGACTTGGATTTTTCTTTGTCGGTAGGTTTGCCCCTCTGGCAAGATGTTCTGCTCCTGGACTAATTGGGTGGTTCTGTTCCCCATTCTCTCTGCAAGGACTGCAGCTGCAGAGTTTCACCCCCAGCCTTATGTCATGCCTGAGCTGAGTGTGAAGGAGACAATGGGGAGTAGGGGAGAGCGAAAGCTCTCCCACACACTCCCCAGCCTGGACTAGGGCTGGATCTGGGGGTCATGAGAATGTGGCAGAAGTTCTCGCTCACTAGGCAGGTGTGGGGTGGGGGCTGAGGAGTGGTGGGCGTGTCTCAAAGGCGGGGAAGAGGGTCTCACTCATGCTGCGTGCCTGGGTTTGGACCAGACAGGTCCCGCAGGTGCAGGATGGCTGGAAGCTCTCCTACACACTCCATGAGGTGCTTTTTATTCTTTTGTATTTATTTCAGCAGGCCTTGTAGACTATTATGGGTCTATTTTGGATAAAGTTACTCTTGCTTTTCAAAAGAATATGCATTCTGTTGTATGGTAGAATACTCTGCAGATACCTTTTAAGAACATTTGCTCAAATGTGTTCAGCTCTGACATTTGTTGATTTTTTAGTTGATCTCTTTGTGAAAGTAGGATGAGAAGGCCACCCAGTATGATTGTGTTGGTGTTTATCTGTTATGTCTGGCAGTATTTATGAAGATAGA